GAATTTGACGATTACTTGAAACTTGTTAACTGCTTGTAATGCACAGTCGACTTCCCCCGCTTTAAACTAAACACCTAAAAAATTATATTCTTCGAGAGGTGATGATAAAATGATTGGAATATGAGGTTGAACGATACTATTAATCATGCGCGAAATGAAACCTAAGCTAGTGTCATGATTTGAGCGCGTAGTAATTATCGAAGAAGAGAACCCGGGTTAGGTCATAAAGAGGAGAACAGGGAACAGAGTGTTGGAGTGCGCATGCGCATCTTTAAGCTTCCACCCTCATCAAACTGGTTTAGCATACCACGAAGCCGAGTAAAATTCACAACATCCTTGGAATTAATATGCAGAGAAGATCTCTGAAGGTCAGACGGATATCAGGGAACACACAAATACCAAAAACTATATTTCGAAGATGAATATTCTATACGGTATTCACGCGAATATACCAACGCATGCGCAGTAGTGTGTATATAGTTAGGACAGTTATTACTATTGAATAACATATTATTAGGTTGTAGGTGACTAGTATATCAAAATCAAATCAAATCATTTCTCTGCATTGTTATCATGGTGTTCTACAATTTGTAATTCATTTTATTTCTGTACTATAGGGCGATGCAGCTATGGACGTCGATGCGTTAGCTGACCGTTATCAGGCACTGACTTACGTACAGAAATACGGTGACTTGAAGACAAGTGAAATGTCGGTCAGTACTTCTACGCCGCAAAGTCGCAGCTGGTTCTACGGCGAATCGAAATGTGACATTGCTATCAGCTTTGCAAAATCCGATTCCAAATACGCCAAACTTTTATCGGCGATGTTGAAACACTATTCGCCAGAACTAGTCATCAACGATTCCGTATCTTCGGACCATACGCAACTGAGCGTACTGGAGACGGCAAGAAAAGTCGTGTGCCTGATTTCCGCCAGTTACGTCCGCTCTCGAAGTCAATGCGAAGAGTTCCACGTCGCGTTGTTCAGGCACCGTAACAGTCCCGGATCGCCTGTTCTTTTCCCGATACTTATTTCACAGCTGCCAAATAAACCGACGTACTTTCACCTAGTGCCTTACGAAGTCAGCTGTACTAGCTTGATATGGAAAGACCTGCTCCAAGATCCGGGGATCCCGAAAACAATACTAGATATCAGGAGAGAGTGTGGGCAATACACAGTGCCGCGTATACCAAGAAGAACAGTGATGGGGTTGTATAAGTCCGCGGTAGCTCTGTTACTCTCAATAAAGGCAGATATCAGGTATAAATCCGATTAACAGATTCCAAGTTCACTGACAATATATCGCGTTGGATATACGCACAAGGGATGTTGTAATGGGGATATTAATGTTTATATTCGCAGGGAGACAACTGCGAAAAGTCCCAATATAATTCTGCTCAACGTTTGTAAGATGAACTACATGATAAATGCAATAGAAAACAGTGAATACACAGAAGACCCAACCCAGGTATTTATTGAATATATGGTTTTAATGAAATATCTAACACAGTACTTGTTCTCGTTCGAGGCTATATTAAGAACAGCTGACTGGGGGATATACATCGTAATCTTTACCGAACTCCCGCTATCCTATTACGAGCTATGTAAAGCGGGGGACTCAATTTCCGCGCGTGCGCAGGTGACGACCCTCCCGCTTTAAAATTAGCCAATTATCTGGTAAGGCTGATGATACATATTTAGATGTCGATTTTTATGCTTGTATAACATTGGCTGCGAACGAGGCTGTACAAAAAACAGAAAGCCAGGTGTGTTACATAGTAGCGCAATGTGTTTCTGTAGTAACCGATGTTACGTTAAAAACTGTTCTGTTATTTTCTTTGTCAGTATTTGTATGACGTGGATTGGAGCCAACTTGAAAACGAAGACGTCAAATCGGGAAATACCAAGTCAGCGAGTTCCAATTGCAAGTCATCTTCATCGTTGTTTCATCTTGGCAGCATGGTTGGGACAATACTGCACTCTCGCTTTAATAAGAAACCGTGAAATATACAACACTGGCAGCGAAATGAAGCGGTCGTCAGGCAGCGTGCTTTCGAGTTTTAATGCATTTTACGCGCATAGTATACGTCGCAATTGATCCAAATCGAGCGCGACATTGCACGACAACTACCGCCCACCAAGTTAGCTGTAATTCGAGTAAATGTTACTTGAATTTATCGATCATACACTGTCCCGGGTCATGTATGGTATCTACATGTATCGGGCACTGATTGCGGAGCACTGCTGTATTCATGGTGTTGTGTTTATTCCGTTTATTTACATTTTGTAACATATAAATACCTACAACCACCAGTGTGAATAAAATATACTCAGGATAAACTGGATATTTTACCGATTATAAGATATTTGAATAATCCTACTGAAAATTAGACTGATGCATGGACTAATTTCTTCGCCCAACAAAAAATGTCAACCAGCCCGCGCATTAATATGGGCCTGTAACTACATAGTCTTGTTCATAATATGACCACACGCATTTCTTGATTTGAAATTCAAATCTTTGCGCGAAGCAACACGCCCTCTCTGTTTGTTTAGTCCAAAAATAATAACTGTTACCTGTACACGATCTGTTATACCCACATAACTTGTCACTTAAATATAATAAGCAATGAAGTCTGAAACGGACAAATAGTTGTCCCAAAATTGGAACCTACCCACTACCCATCTCATTACATATAGGTTTCACACGACAATAATAATTTGTAATTCTCTCTCGTGAGTGCCACGGTGTTTTAGGTAATGAACTACGGCAAACATGCATTGTGAACAAATAGGAGTCGTTTTTAACCTTTATAATTTGTAATGCAGTACATGTAAAATAAACACATTTTAGTTTAGTTTTGTATGTTGTCAGGTTGATTCAAAGTAAACCGTATTTATAGTTATATTTATGAATCAATGTAAATAAAGAGTGTTTCACATTAAAATTTTAGGTGCTTCTCTATTTCAATTCTATGAGCATATCTTTTTCATCCGGAGGTGAAACAATTGCGCTGTTTTCTATCAATTGTGTTATTAAGGTAGAGATGCATGTTCGTGGCAAAGTCAGCT